TATTTTATTTTACTTATTTAATTTTTTTGAGAGAGTTGTTATTTTAGTAAGTGTGGCCAGGAAAGGGCTATTTGAGAAGTTAACATCTGAGTCAAGACTAGAAGGAGGTGAAAAGTGATTAATTTGGGTATTTGGGATGGAAGAATGTTCCAGGGAACAAATATAAAGACCCTGGGACAGGAATATATTTGGTATGTTTGAGAAATAACAAGGAAACAAGTGGGCAGACTGGTAGGAGATGAACTGAGAGAAGTTATGGAAGATCTAGATTATATAAGGTCATCATATAGGCCTTTGTAAGGCAATTTTACTGTGAATATCATGGGAAGCCACTGAGGGTTTGGAACAGAGGAAAGAAATACAATTTGAATTATTTCAAATAATATTACATAACATATTAAAATATGCTACTAGTATAACTGTATAGTCATATTATTAATTAATGTATATATTATATAATGTAATAGGTCATCTGGCTGCTTTTTTGAAAATAGGCTGCAGTGGGGGATATATTAGTTAGACTGTAGGTTAGGTATCGTTACTGTAACACAGAGTTATAAAAGTCCAAGCAGTCTGGATAGGGAGGACATCTGTGCTCTGTGAAACCATTCAGGAATCCAGAATCTTTCCATCTTTTTGTTTTACCATTCTTTGGGGTCTTGTCCTAATTTAATGTGGTCAAAACTAGATCACTATCAAGAAGATATTTCATCTGCGAAAAAGGGAAACAGATGGAATCCAAAGCAGACAAGCTTAGCTATACTTTGTGCCTGTTGCATTTCCCAGTGTATTGTAAGTGTTCAATAAATGTTTGAATGAATGAATGAATACCTATTTTATATCTGAGTAAATTAAGAGTTAGAGAACTAACCAAACTTGACTAAGAGTCTATACTGGAACATGATCTAAACCCTGAGCACTAAGAATATATGTATAGAAGAAACTATCATAAAGAGGTTATATCCATGAAATGGGGAATGTCTTATATAAAGGTAACATTGTTTTGTTTTCCTTAAAAATCATTACTGTACAATCTTTAGATGTGATTATTAAGGTTTAAAATAGTAGTTAATGGAAGGGGGATTCAAGGTGATGGCGTAAGAAGACTCTGGATTCACCTCCTCCCACGGACACAACAAACATATCTTTATATGGAATAATAGCCTCTGAAAAGGAACTGAGAATTAGATGAACAGTGCCTCTGTAACAAAAGACAAAAGAGAAACGTAGAGACGGGTAGGAGAGGCAAAGGCACAGCCTTACCCTGGACCCTACCCCAAATGTGCTAACTCCACAATTGGGAGGGGTGCCCAAAATATGGAACTCTCTCTCAACATACTTTCATGATAAAAATTTCAATAAATTAGTTATAAAAGAAATATATCTCTGCATAATAAAGGCCATATATGACAAACCCACAGCCAACATCATACTCAATGGTGAAAAGTTTAAAGCTTTTCCTCTAAAAAGATCACCACTTTTATTCAACATAGTACTGGAAGTATTAGCCACAGCAATTAGGCAAGCAGAAGAAGTGAAAGACATCCCAATTGGAAAGGAAGACATAAAACTGTCACTATTTGCAGATGACATGATACTCTATGTAGAAAACTCTAAGACTCCAGTAAAAAACTATTAAAACTAATAAATGAATTCTGTAAAGTTGCAAGATACAAAATTAATATATAGAAATCTGTTGTATTTTTATACACTACCAATGAACTATCAGAAAGATAAATGAAGAAAATGATCCCATTTATAGCTGCATCAAAAAAAGAATAAAATACCAGGCACCTGGGTGGTGCAGCCAGTTAAGTGTCCAACTCTTGGTTTCGGCTGAGGTCATGATCTCAGGGTCACGGGATTGAGCCCTGAGTCAGGCTCTGTGCTCAGCACGGAGTGTGCTTGAGATTCTCTCTCCTCTTCCCTCTGCTCCTCCTACTTGTGTGTGCTCTCTCTCTCTCAATAAGTAAATCTTAAAAAAAAAAAAAAAAAAAAAGAGGGGCACCTGGGTGGCTCATTCGGTTGAGTGTCTGCCTTTGGCTCAAGTCATGATCCTGGGGTCCTGGGATCAAGCCCCATGTCAGGCTCCCTACTCAGCAGGGAGTCTGCTTCTCCCTTTCTTTCTGCCCCTCCCCCACTACTCATGCTCACTCTCTCTCAAATAAATAAAATCTTAAAAATAAATAAACATTTAAAAAAAGAATAAAATACCTAGGAATAAATTTAACCACGGAGGTGAAAGACCTGTACTCTGAAAATTTGAAGACAATGAAAAAGAAATTGAAGATGACACAAACAAATGGAAAGATGTATCATGCTCATGGATTAGAAGAATTAATATTGTTAAAATGTCCATAGTACCCAAAGCAACCTACAGATTCAGTGCAATCCCTGTCAAAATACTAATGAGATTTTTCACAGAACTAGAACAAATAACCCTAAAATTTGTGCGGAACAACAAAAGACCTCAAATATCAAAGCAATCATGAGAAAGAACAACAAAGCTGGAGGTATGCTTCCTGATTTCAAACTATACTACAAAGTGATAGTAATCAAAACAGTATAGTCCTAGCACAAAAACAGACACATAGATCAATGTAACAGGATAGAGAGCCCAGAAATAAATCCATCTTATAGGGTCAGTTAATCTGTGACAAAGGAGGAAGAAACACACAATGGGGAAAAGACAGTCTATTCAGTAAATGGTGCTGAGAAAACTGGACAGATACATGCAAAATAATGAAACATTTTCTTATACCATATACAAAAATAAACCCAAGTGGATTAAAGACTTAAATGTAAGACCTACATCCAAAAAACTAGAAGAAAACATAGGCAGTAAGCCTTTTGACATTGGGCTTAGCAATATTTTTTGGATATGTCTCCTCAGGCAGTGGCAACAATAGCAAAAATAAACAGATGGGACTATATCAAACTAAAAAGCTTTTGCACAGTGAAGGAAACCTTCAACCAAACAAAAAGACAGCCTACTGAATGGGAGAAGATATTTGCAAATGATATATCTGATAAGGGGTTGAACTCATACAACTGGATAGCAAAACACAACACAACAAAAAACAAAAATAAAAAACCAAACAACCCTATTTAAAAAATGGACAGAGGAGCTTAATAGACATTTTTCCAAAGAAGACATACAGATGGCCAACATTCACATAAAAAGATGCTCAGCATCACTAGTCATCAGGGTGGTACAAATCAAAACCACAATGAGATGCCACCTCACGATAGAATGACTAGTAACAAAAAGACAAGAAATAACAGGTATTGGGGAGGAAGTGGAGAAAAGGAAACCCTTGTGCACTGTTGGTTGGAATGTAAATTGGTGCAACCACTATGGAGAACAGTGTGGATATTCCTCAAAACATTAAAAATAGAAATACCATATGATCCAGTAATCCCACTTCTGGATATTTATCCCAAGAAAATGAAGATACTAATTCCAAAAGATAAATGCATCCTTATGTTCATTGCAGCATTATTTACAATAGCCAAGACATGGAAGGAATCCATGTAGCTATCAATAGATGAATGAATAGGGGCACCTGGGTGGCTCAGATGGTTAAGCATCTGCCTTTGGCTCAGGTCATGATCCCAGAGTCCTGGGATCAAGCGCCACATCGGGCTCCTGGCTCAGCGAGGAGCCTACTTGTCCCTTTCCCTCTGCCTCTCTTCCTGCTCATGCTTTCTCTCTCTCTCTCTCTCTCTCTCTGTATCTCTGTGTCTCCAATGAATAAATAAAATCTTAAAAAAAATAGATGAATGAATAAATAAGATGTGCTATATAAGTACAATGGAATATTACTCAACCATAAAAAAGAATGAAATCTTGCCATTTGCAGGAACATGCATGGACCTAGAGGGTATTTTGCTAAGTGAAATAAGTCAGACAGAGAAAGACAAATACCACATTATTTCACTTATATGTGGTATCTAAAAAACAAAAGAAATGAACAAAACAGAAACAGACTCATAGATACAGAGAGAAAACTGGTGGTTGTCAGAGGGGATTGGGGTGGGAGAATGGGCAAAATAGAAGAAGGGAATTAAGAGGTATAAACTCCCAGTGATAAAATAAGTGTCACAGGAATGTAATGTTCAGCATAGGGAATGACTCAATAACATTGTAATAACTTTGTATAATAACAAATGGTAACCAGAACTACTGAAGTGATCATTTTGTAATGTATAAAAATAGCGAATCACTATGTTGTACACCTGAAACTAATATATTAATGTCTGTCAGTTATAAATCAGTAAAAAATGAAATAGAAGTTATTGAAGGTGGTAAAGTCTACATATTTATGATGGAGAGAAGAAAAAGAATCTATGAAGAAGAGTGAATGTGGTCTTTATTCTAACATTTTTAGTATCTAAGGTAATTTTACCAAGGGGAAGAGATTTTTTTATTCAGGCAATAAATATTTGGAGTGCAAACAAAACTATCCATAGCATATCCAGGCATTCTTTTTTGTCAATATACTTAAAATAGTTCAAGTGTGTGTTTATGTGTGTGTGTGTACATAATGCATTCATGCACATTTCATATATATGTAACTGTGTGTGTGTGTACATAATGCATTCATGCATACTTCATATATATGTAACTTCAGAAATCACTTTACCCAAGGAGTTATTTTAAAATGGTAAGTTTTACATCTTAAAAATTAATAAGCTTATAATATTTTGAGTATTCATGAAAATTGTTTCTGAACCACTGAACTAAGAAAATACTCTTATTTATTATTGTCCTTTGAAGTACACATTAGTGAATCCTTAACAAAGATAGAATAGTTAATATTGGTATCAGTGAAACTGAATGAAAAATCTCTAAAACTTATTTACTAGTTAGCCTTATACAAGATACAGATCTTTTAGATAAATTGAGATTGTTAAGTAAGTAATGAAGCTTAGGTTTCCTTAAAATGGACTTCTTTATGTCTATTTTGTTTGAGATGTTATTTTTTTCTTCCTCATAGGGGGAACAATATATTTTCAATAAGAATCAGTAACTGGAAGTACAGGTTTGGTTAATTCATAATGTTAAAATGAAGCTTTAACCAGCAGAGGTAAGATTCTGTTACTGCTTTATGTTTAAGTCAATGGATCAGAATATTTGTTGCATTTCTATGAAGAACTATTTAAAAAACTATGAAGGATCTGAGATTTTATACCCTTTGCAAGCTAACAAGTTAGCCTGCCACAGTGCCATGGATGTGGGCAGAAGACATGAGACTCCTAGATTTAAGAAAAGGCTGCTTTGCACTCATAGTAGTAGCAGTAGCTACAGTACCAGGCAACACCTGCATATCAGTAGGTTGTATTATAGGAGAGGAACCTTAAGCTGAGGGGACCCGGAGCTTTACAATGAATAATAAGTCTGCTGATTTATGCCTCAGGGGGAGACTGTCTCTATTAGAGGGACAATAAACAAATTTGCTCTTCGTTCCAGTATGAGACACTATCTCTGACTTCTAAGACTATTCGCTGATTATATATTCTTGAAAAATAGTCTGGAACAGAGGCAGTCAGGGTCTGCTTGCAAAATATGCAGAAACACGAGACTCTGGAGAATTGTCTTTCAACACTTTCTTACTCTGAATTGCATTTTAAGGCACGTATTACTGATAAAGATGATTGTTACAGTACTTTTTTGAAATAGTGAAAAGATGGAAACTACTGAAATACCCAACAATAGGAGATGGTTTAAATTATAATATTCACAGTGAAATAGTAAACAATTGAAAATAATGTTGTAAAACTACATTAATTGACATAGGTGTGCATCAAAAAAAATAGATGACATAAACAGTATAAAATGTACATGTGGTTTGATCCCATTTTTATAGAAATTTTACAAAAGCATACACAGGTGAAGAATATATACCAAAGCATATATTTCAATGGACAGAATCATGAATGTTTTTCTTTTTGCTTGTCTGTATTTTTTTTTTTTAATCCTTTAAATGAATACTTCAGGCTTTTGTAATGAGGGGAAAAATTTTTTTTTTGAAATTTAAAAACAAATCGTAATTTAAGAACTTCACCTAACAGAAAAAAAAACCTTCATGAATTTAAATGGGGATTAAAGAATGCTAATTCTCATTGTGATTTTGGAGTTGCCTGGATGTGCAGTGTAGAACTAGAAGAGAATAATTAGGTCACTAAATTTTTTTCTTTACTATTTTATCTGTGATAAAGTCAAGGGTTTCTTTTAGCAATTTCCTGTATTATTTATTATCACATAGATGTCACAAAGGGAAACAAATCTTAGAAAATGCATTCTATTAGAAAATATCTTAAATTATAGATTATTGCTTTCTTGTAAGTATATTATTAATAAGTATATTTAGTTGATTCTGGTGCTATTTAGTTGGAATAGGCTAAGTTAGGTACACTGAATTAATTTACTTCATTTTTATTTTCTGCCTATCATACTTGGAAATATGCTTAAATATTAGTGTTTTTGTAGGTTGGCATTTATGTCATTTTGCTTCTCATGATTTTTTTTTTTCCCCTACTTTTACCAAGGTGCTGTTACCAGATTTGTCTTCTGAGTATAAATTGAAAATGACTGAAGTTCAAGCAATGGTAGAATTCTCTGTGGAGCTAAACAAGTTCTACAATGTGGATTTATTTCAGAGAGGGTATGTATTTTAATGTGAAGATTATAGATTTGGCATAAGAAAAGATGTACAGATTTTCATTTACGTTTAATTGCATACTTATGTTCCAGCATATATAAGGGAAACAATGAGGTATATTCAAGTAATTATTTTCTTAGAGAAATTTTAGTTTTAAGTACATGTTTGAGAATTATTCATGTGGATTTAATGATACTGCTGGATATATGTAATATATATTTATGAATTTGTAGTGAGCATTGAGAGGACTTCTGTGAAAATGTGTAAGATCTCATTTTTGCTTGTAAAAGCTTATAGTGAATGGGGAAAATAAAATATTGCACAAAATAGCTAAGTGGGAATGCAAAATGATGAATCTTCAAGAAGTGTGTATGGAAAGTGCTCTAGGAATCAGAACAGAAAGACGTCTTTCTGGGTATATTAGGAAAGGCATTATGGAGAAATAGAATCCAAGTATGTTTTAAGACCTGTATCGGCAAGGATAAAGTGAAAAACCCTTTTGGTAGGAGAAAGCAGCGTGAATCAAACCTTGGAAATAGGAATGGACATGTATTTTTTTTTTTAAAGATTTTATTTATTTATTTGACAGAGAGAGGGAGCACAAGCAGGGGAAGTGGCAGGCAGAGGGAGAGGGAGAAACAGGCTTGGCGCTGGGCAGGGAGCCCAGTGTGGGGCTCAATCCCAGTACCCTGGGATCACGACCTGAGCTGAAGGCAGATGCTTAACGACCGAGCCACCCAGGCGCCCCTGAACATGTATTTTAAAGAATATTTAGAAGATTGGATATTCTCTGGGAGAATTGCAGAAGAAAAGATAGTAAAGAAAGAAGAGGTTATATTTATGAAGGGCTCCTAATGTCTGGAGAATTGACAGTGGGGATTTGGGCAGGCTGGCAGTTCTTAGGCCAGTAAAACTTACTTAAAAATTTTATGAGGTTTCTGTATGTCTGATACAGTTCATGCCAGGCTCTGAAACCTACACCCACAATTGTCTTGAGACATGACTATTCTCTAGATGTAATCACTACTATTTGGGGATCAGAATTCTGTGGGATCATGCCCCTCAACTTCCTAAAAGCCCTTTTGTCAAACTGAGAATGTCTACTTAGACACTGCTTTAATCTCTTTAGAGATCTTAAGAAAGGGATTTATAGCCACTCCCTTGATAGGATCTTTGTCCGTGGCATCATTTTATTTTTAAAATCTTTAGGGAGACTGAAGATGAAAACCAGTTTTGTTTTCCAATCTAGCAAGTACTGATCCATCTATAGTCCCTCTAGATTCTATTTGTAAAATGACCAGTTCTTTCTTTAGCTCATCTCTTTCTGGCAGAACCTTATTATACCTAGCAAGGAGTAACAAGTTGACATTTTCAGCATTCTCCCTGGAAATTAGCTTGCTCAAGTCCCAAAGTTTCTTGTCTAACTTCTAAGTTATTGCTGACAGTGTATTTACCAAAGTTTCATCACTGTATAACATAGGTTACCATTTTTTAAATCTCTATAATTTACTCATTTTTCTTGCCTCTGTAACTGTTACTTTGGTCCCAAAGTCAATGCCACATATTTAAAATTTTTGTTACGGTGTACACTACTTCTAAGTTACCAATTTTTGTATTATGTATTGCCGCAGTAATGCAGCTAATAACAAACGCAAAGCTTCTGTGGCATCACAACAATAAACGTTAATTTTTTCTCACAAGTCTGGATCAGCTGAATGGTTCTGTTCTGGGCTGGCTTGGCTGATTTTGCTGAGCTTGCTTATGAATTCATACTCAACTGGTGGGTTGGCTGGGTTCTAGCCATTACAGAATGGCCTTAACTCAGTGGACTCAGCTCTGTTTTATGATCTCTCATCCTACAGCTTATTCTCACAGAGGAGGCAGGGTCCAAAGAGAAAGAAACTATCCAAGACCTTTTACGACCTAGGCTTGGAACTAGCACATTGTCATCTCTGCCACATTGTATTGCCCAAAACAAGTTATAAGGCCAGCCCAGATTTAAGGGTAGGGAAATAAACTCCACTATTTATTGGAAGTCACATTGCAAGATGTATGGACACCAGGGTGGGTGAAAAAATCAGAGACTTTTAAAAATCATTCTACTACTCTAACATTTTTTATTTTTTTGTTACTAATTTCTGTGAGGCGTGTTGGAGAAACAATAGTAGGATTTAATGACTGATTCCATATGGAGGATGAGACTGAAAAAGCATTAAAAATATGTATGTAGATGTGTGAATATATGTGATATCTAAGATTACTTTGAAATGGCTCAGCAAAGAAAAAGTACAGATGAATCAGATATGATAAAAATCTTTTTGGGGTACCTGGGTGGCTCAGTCGGTTAAGTGTCTGCCTTCGGCTCAGATCATGATCCTAGAGTCCCAGGATCAAGTCCCGCATCAGGCTCCCTGCTCAGCGGGAAGCCTGCTTCGCCCTCTCCCACTCCCCCTGCTTGTGTTCCCTCTCTCGCTGTGTCTCTCTCTGTCAAATAAATAAATAAAATCTTAAAAAAAAAAAATTCTTTTTAATTGTTGAAAATGGGTAGTGGACATATGGGTTCATTGCTCTACTTTTTGCAAATTGGGTATTTTTAATAAGAAATATAAAAACTAATGTTGAAGTTTTAAATCTTATTGACTTGCACAATATTAGTAATATTGAAATAAATAAGGAAGTTGAAGATTTGTTCATTTTGATATGCTGAGTTTGAGGTAAGATATCCAAATGGAGATAGTTCATAATTAATTGGAGGCTTAGAACTGGAGATAAAGATTAAGTGAATTATAATTCCATTTTATTGCCAACCATCATAAACATAGAATGTGTAATTGCTGCTTTCATTAGTTTTCTCTTAATCTACAATCTGGTTTCCGTATCCATTGAGGACTTTTGAATAATATTATTATGTTTCTGATCTTTTAAAAATCTAATGGTTAGAGGATCATTGTTTTTAGATACATTGCTTGACTTGTTTATTTAAGCATATTTTTGCTTTTTAATTGAGGTATAATTGACATATAATATTATATTAGTTTCAGGTGTACAACATAGTGATTTGACATTTGTCTACATTGCAAAATGATCACCACAATAAGTCTATTTACCATGTGTCACCATACAAAGTTAATACCATATTACTGACTTTATTCCCTATCTTATATGTACATCCCCATGACTTACTTATTTTTTAACTGGAAATCTGTACTTCTTGATACCCTTCACCCATTTGGCTCCCCGCAACCTTCCTCCCTTCTGACAACCATTAGTCTGTTCTCTATATCTGTGAGTCTAGTTTTGTTTTGTTTTGTTTTTTAGATTTCACGTGTAAGTGAAATCATGCGGTATTTGTCTTTCTCTGACTTAATTCAATTAGCATAGTGCTCTCAAGGTCCATTCATGTTGTCACAAATGGCAAGATATCATTCTCTTTTATGGCTGAGTAGTATTCCATTGTATATATATCACATCTTCTTTATTCATTCATTGATCAATGGACACTTAGATGGTTTCCATATCTTAGCTATTGTAAATAATGCTAAAATAAACATAGGGGTGCATATACCTTTTTGAATTATTTTTTTTCATGTTCTTCAAGCAGATACTCTGTAGTGGAATTGCTGGATCATATAGTAGTTCTATTTTTAATTTTTGCAGAAACCTCCATATAATTTTCCATAGTGTCTATACCAACTCATACTCCCATTGTGTGGGAGTATTCTGTGTGCACAAGGGTTCCCTTTTCTCCACATCTTCAGCACTTATCTTTTGATATTTTGATAATAGTCATTTTAAAAGGTGTGAGGTGACATTTCATTGTAGTTTTAATTTGCATTTCCCTCATGATTAGTGATGTTGAGCATCTTTTCATTGACTTCTTTGGAAAAATGTCTATTTAGATCTTTTGCCCATTTTTTTTAAAGATTTTATTTATTTGAGAGGGAGAGCATACAAGCAGGAGGCAGAGGCAGAGGGAGGGGGAGAAGCAGACTCCCCGCTGAGCAGGGAGCCCCACGTGGGGTTCGATCCCAGGACCTCAGGATCATGACCTGAGCTAAAGGCAGAGGCTTAACTGACTGAGCCATCCAGCTGCCCCTCTTTTGCCCATTTTTTAATCAGATTGTTTGTTTGGTGGGGTTTTTTTGTTTGTTGTTTTGTTTTGTTTTTTACTATTGAGTTTTGTATGAGTTCTTTATAATAATTTTGGATATTAACCCCTTATCAGATATATGATTTTCAAATATTTTCTCTCATTTAGTAGGTTCCTTTTCATTTTGTTGATGGTTTCCTTTGCCATGCAGAAAGTTTTTAGTTTTATGTAGTTCCAGTTGCTTATTTTTGCTTTTTGTTGCCTTTGCTTTTGGTGTCAGAGTCAAAAAAATCATCACCAAGATGTATGTCAAGGAGCTTACTGCCTGTGTTTTCTTTAATTTTACTTAATCTTTAGTTAAAATTCTCAGCATGGGAAGTTGAATAGTTCCTAGAAAGCTTTGTTCTCCTCTGGTTCCAAGGCTCCTGTGATTCCACTTTGATTTTTGGTTTTAGTCATCTCATGTTTTCAATCTGACCTTATCTTAATCTCAACTAATTATCTCTCTCTGTTTATGGAGTTTTGCCATGTTTCTTTAAGGCCAAATTGTGACTTTCAGGGTTATAGATTTAATTGGCTAGCCTTTCGTTCACTCCTCTTTAATTCTGGCTTTGTGACCTGACCATGTGTTCTCTCCAACGCTATACCTTGCTATAAGTAATAGTAGTAATATATTTATGTATTTTAATCTTTGTATTATTTACAAATTTAATATTTTTTTTAAAGATTTATTTATTTATTTGAGAGAGCAAGAATGAGAGAGAGAGAGTACATGGGGGGGGGTCAGAGGGAGAAGCAGGCTCCTCGCTGAGCAGGGAGCCCGATGCGAGACTCGATCCCGAGACTCCGGGATCATGACCTGAGCCGAAGGCAGTCGCTTAACCAACTGAGCCACCCAGGTGCCCCAAATTTAATATTTTTAAACTACCACCTAGGAAATTATTAAATAAAAATAAACAAAATATTTAATTCCCTTGTGTACATCTAAACTCATCCTGATTTGTAATCTTGATATAGCTTTTAGTAAGCCTGTGTGTCTCGTGTGTGTGTGTGTGTGTGTGTGCATAGATGTGTGTATCCTCCATTACATATACATACTTGCAGTGTAATGTTGTTAAAACACAAACATATTATAGTGTTTACCTCAAATTTTTTATTCTATGTAAACTGTTATTACTAATGACTGGTTGATTTCTATATATAGATATAAATATTATAAAATCCTGTAGAATAAATAAAGTGTATAAACAAATAGCCCTGACCTTGAAAAAATGCTGAATTCTTTAAACCAAATACATGTCTTTATTTTGTAATTTATAGTATTAAGCCAATTTTCAAAAACCATTACAATCTGTATTTTCTCAAAATTATACTTAAGAAAAATTTATCTTTATTATGTTCTAAAAGAAAAAACTGAATAACCAAATTAGACCATGAAAATCTTAGATGCCTTACTAACTCCTCGACATTCTCTCATTTGAAGTAAGAAATACCAAATACTTTAATTTTGTTCTCTAATTCATCTTTATACATGCTGATTTCCCTTTGGATCTTATTGCGTACTGCTGATAACTTGATGTGGACCTGATGTATTGTTTTTCACCAGTAATAAATATTATGGGAGGGACGCCTGTGTGGCTCAGTTGGTTAAGGAGCTGACTCTGGATTTCGGCTCAGGTCATGATCTTAGGGTCTTGGGATTGAGCCCTGCCTTGGCTCCTTGCTCACCACGGAGTCTGCTTGTCCATCTCCCTCTACTCCTCCACCACTTGCACTCTCTGGTGCATGTGTGCACGCGCACGCTCTTTCTCTCAAGTAAATAAAATCTTTAAAATAAAGAAATAAATCTTTAAAAATAAATAATAAATATTATAGGACACTCATATAAGCAGACCAAATTTATTACTTAATACATACGGATATATAGAAATTGGGGCATTGCATATTTTAAAATATATTTTGAAATGATTTTTTTGGTCTATCTTCCTTTAGTTTTTACCAGATACGTGCATCTATGAAAATTCCACCAAGAGTTCCCCACAGAGTAGAAGCTAGTTTGTTACATGCAGCAGGTAAGCGAAGGAATGTTTTTAACTTTTAAGAAAAGTCTGAAGCAACATTATAATGGCAATGATAACTTTTAATTATTTTTATTTTTTTAACTACAAATATAAGATACCAACGAGTATCATTATAATAAGAAATATATTTGAGGCCTCCGTAAAACAGGCTTGATTATAGGTTCCTTGTCTTTCTCTTAGATTTCTTATGATGAGCATATGAAAGAATGTATGTGAAATTTCCACAAAAACAAACATAAGTAGGGGTGGTGTCAGTTATATCATGTAAGATGTAATTTTTAAAAATACATAGTGAGGGGCGCCTGGGTGGCTCAGATGGTTAAGCGTCTGCCTTCAGCTCAGGTCATGATCCCAGGATCCTGGGATCGGGTCCCGCATCGGGCTCCCTGCTCTTTGGGAGTCTGCTTCTCCCTCTGCTTCTCTCTCTCTCTCTCTCTCTCTCTGTCTCTCATGAATAAATAAATAAAATCTTTAAAAAAATAAAATAAAAATACACAGTGAATGTGGACATATAATTTGATATATGATTACAAAGGTGTTTTATGATAGTTTTATAGTATGCCTTTGAGAATTTTTTTTAACCACATTTTTGGTCTGGGTTAACTGCTCTAATTAAAAAACAAAATGCAGAAAGTAAAGTATACAGTATAAGATAGATATGTTATAGTGGCTCGGTTATTTACTTATATTCTGTGGAGAGACACCAGCATTAAAATGTTTGAACCAAAACTGGTGGTCCTGATATAATCAGTGAGCATTTTTTCAGCTTTCCTGATACAGTGTACTCTGTTTCATTCTATGAAGTTAGGAAATGAAATGGTTAATGAAACATTCTAGAGAGTTATCATATATGTCAAGTATGAATTATGAGTTTTGAAAACATCATAAATAATAAAATACACCTAACACTAAAGCTATGCTGAGCATAGTTCAGTCTATTTTAAAACTGAAGAAAATATTCTGGGAATTTGAAGTGTTTAGGATTATCTTTTTAGCATCCTATGGGTACTAAAATGCTAGGTTTATAGATTTTAATGAATTTTACATAATGGAGAGTTTATTCTATCTTCCTGAAGACTCTCAAAATGCTCAGGGAGGTTTATTGCTTATGACCAAAAATATGTACATTCTTTCTTTTTTAAAAAAAAAAATCAGTATTTTTTTCTTGGCCTGGCATACATATTAAAGTGTAATTTATTGTCAGTTGGACTTTTTTAAGTCTACTTTCTATGGAACATAGAGATTAAAATAATTAATATTGCAAGACAGATTTGGTCCTCCCTTTTTGAACTTCCTTAATCTAGTAGACTAAATGTCTTGCCTAGTGTATCTTCTAAAGTTGCCAGTTGAAAAAAATAGACCTTTTTTTCTGGGCTCCCTTTTTATTTTTTCAGCTTTATTGAGAAATAATTAACAAATAGAATTGTATATATTTAAAGTATACAAATTATTTGTTATATATACATTATGAAATAATTACCACAATCAAAATAATTAGCATATCCATCACCTCACATAGTTCACTCTTTTGGGTGTGTGTCATGAAAACACTTAAGATCTACTCTTTGCAAATTTAAGTATACAAGATTTTATTATGTAGTCACCATGCTGTGCATTAGAGCTTACTCATAACCGAAAGTTTACATCATTTGACCTGTATCTCCCCATTTCTCTCACCCCGTAGCCCCTGGCAAGCACAATTCTGCTGTTTCTATGAAATCAACTTTTTGTTTTGTTTTGTTTTGTTTTATTTTCACATGTCTCTGTCTGACTTATCTCACTTAGTGTAATGCCCTCCAGGTTCATCCGTATCATTGCACATGGCAAGATTTCCATCTTTATGGCTGAATAAGATATATCTCTCTCTCCCTTCCTCCCTCCCTCCCTGCCTTCCTCTGTGTGTGTGTGTGTGTGTGTGTGAGCAAGAGATTGAGAGAGAGAAAGAGAGAGACACACCACATTTTCTTAATAAACTCATCTGCTGACAGATACTTAGGTTATTTCCATATCTTGGATATTGTGAATAATGCTGCAGTGAACATGGTAGTGCAGATTTCTTTTCAAGATACTCACTTCATTTCTTTCAAACATATACCCATGAGCTAGATCATTATGGTAGTTGTAACTTTAATTTCTTGAGGAACCTCCATACAGTTTTCTATAGTGGCTACACCAATTTTCACTCCCACCAACAGTCACAAGCATTCCCTTTTCTCCATGCCTTCACCAGTACTTGTTATATTTTGACATTTTGAAAATAGCAGTTCTAACAGGTATAAGCAAATATCTCTTTGTGTGTGTGTGTGGTGTTTTCTTAAGATTTATTTATTTATTTATTTATTTGAGAGAGAGTGCACCCATGCATGGAGCGAGCCCAGGGAGGGATATAGGGAGAAGGAGAGAGAGAATTTCAAGCAGACTCCCCGCTGAGCTTAGAGCAGGACTCCGGGCTCAATCTCCACAACCCTGAGATCATGATCTAAGCCGAAATCAAAAGCTGGATGCTTAACTAATTGAGCCACCCAGGCGCCCCATCTTTGTGGTTTTGATTTACATTTTCCTTGGTGATAGTGGTGTTGAGCACCTTTTTATATGCACCTGTCAGTCATCTGTATATCTTCTTTAGAAAAATGTCTATTCAGATCTTCTGCCAATTTTTTAATCAGACTTTTTTTGCTGTTGAGCTATATGAGTTCTTTTTTGGATATTAATCTCCTTAGATATATATGATTTTCAGATATTTTTCCACTTTTGATAGGTTGTCTTTTAATTTTATTGATGGTTTCCTTTACTCTGCAGAAGCTTTGTAGTTTGACATAATCCCGCTTGTTTATTTTTACCTTTGCTTTTGTGGTCAAATCCAAAGAATCATTTCCAAAACGAGTGTCAAGGACCTTTTCTCCTGTGTTTTCTTCTAGGAGTTTCATGGTTTGGGGTCTTAAATTTAAGTCTTTAATTCAATTTGAGTTAATTTCTGTGAGTGATATAAGATAGGGGTGTAGTTTCAATCTTTTGCATGTAGATATCTAATTTTCTCAGCACTATTAAGAGATTGTTCTTTCCCCATTATGTTTTTGGTACGTTGTCAAAGATTAGTTGATCATGTGTATATAGATTTATTTCTAGGCTCTGTTCTCTTCCATTGGTCTGTGTACATGTTTTTATGTCATTATCATACTGTTTTGATTACTATAGCCTTTTAATAGTATTACAGCCTTGAAATCAGGAAGTGTGATGTCTCTAGCTTTGTTCATTTTTTCTTAAGATTGCTGTGGCCATTCAGAGTCTTTTGTGGTTTCATATGAATTTAGGATAATTTTTTCTATTTCTGTGAAAAATGCCATTGAAATTTTGATAAAGATTATATTGAATCCATAGATTACTTGGGGTAGTGTGGACATTTTAACAATAGTAATTCTTCCAATCTAAGAACACAGGATATCTCTCCTTTTATTGTGTCTTCTTCAATTTCTTTCATCAGTGTCATAGTTTTTAATGTACATGTTTTTATTTCCTTGGTTAAATTTATTCCTAAGTATTTTATTATTTTCGATGCTATTGTAAATGGAATTTCTCCTGTTTTTAAATAATTGAATGATTTTACATTTATGAAATAAACATGCACAGAACAACTACCTTTTATTTTTTATTGAAGTATAGTTGACATAATGTTATATTAGTTTCAGGTAAATAACGCAGTGATGGGATTGCTTTCTTGATTTCTCTTTTGAATAGTTCATTGTTAGTGTATAGACAAGCAACTGATTTTTGTATGTTGATTTTGTATCCTGCAACTTTACTGAATTTCTTGGTTAGTTCTAACAGCTTTTTGGTGGAGTCTTTAGATCATGTCATCTGCACACAGATAATTTTACTTCTTCTTTTCCTATTTGGATGCCTAAAATTTCATTTTATTGCCAAATTGCTGTTGCTAGGACTTCCAGTACTATGTTGAATAGAAGTGGTGAGAGTGGGTGCCCTTGTTTCTAACTTTTAAGAGGAAAGATTTTAACTTTTCACCATTGGGTATGATATTAGCTGTGGGCTTGTCCTATACAGCCTTTATTATGTTGAGGTACATTTCTTCTATACATACTTTATTGAAATTTTTATCATGAAAATATGTTGAATTTGGTCAAATGCTTTTTCTGCATCTACTGAAATGATCATATGATTTTTATTCTTCATTCTGTTAATATGGTATATCATGTTTATTTGCATATGTCAAATTATCCTTGCATCCCAGGGATAAATCTCTTGGTCATACTAAATGATCCCTTTAAAGTACTCTTGAATTTGGTCTGTTAGTATTTTATTGAGGTTTTTGCATCAGTGTTCCAGGGGTAGTGGCCAGTATTTCTTCTTTTCTTGTAGTGTATTTGTCTGGCTTCCGTATCAAGGTAGTGCTGGCCTTTTAAAATGAGTTTGAAAATGTTCCTTCCTGGTCAATTTTTGGAAAAATTTGAGAAGGATTAGTATTCTTTCATCTCTAAGTGTTTGGTAGAATTCACCAGTGAAGTCATCTGGTCTTGGGTTTTTATTTGTTGGGAGATTTTTGATTACTGATTCAGTCTTTTATTGGTCTGTTCAGATTTTGTTTCTTCATGATTTAATCTTGGTAAGGTATGTTTCTAGAAATTTATCTATTTCTAGTGTATTTAATTTGTTGGCATTAATTGTTCTTATCCTTTGTATTTTTGTGGTATTAGTTGTAGTGTCTTTCATTTATAATTATATTTATTTGAATCATTTTTTTCATATTCTAGCTAAAGGTTTGTTGATTTTGTTTATCTTTTCAAAAAACCATCTCTTAATTTCATGGATCTTTTCTATTGTCTTTCTAGTCTCTATTTCATTTATTTCCACTCTGATCTTTGTTATTCCCTTCCTTCTGCTAACTTTGGGCTTAGTTTATTCTTCTAGTACCTTGAGATGTAAGGTTAAGTTGTTTGAGATCTTTCTAGATTATTTGTATGACAGAAATATTACAT